CCCTCAAAATTTAAGAGTAGGCTGACAAATTCGAACCCAAGAAAATGATTAATGAAAATAAAATTCTAAACATGTGCTCTTACGGCAACTAAGCAGTTTTAACTGACAGTTTCAACCGAGCTATTTATTTTCTAAATGTAGTTAAGTAAGAAACTGATACAATAAAGCTTGTGCAATTCCAAATACACTGCTGTCTTGAAATAAATGTGTTCACGGACTTAATCAAATAAATTACAAAAAACACAGGTATACATTTTCATTTCTTATGTTGAAAGCATAGGTCAGCATCCACTGCTGGTATTTTGAAGTTAAGCCCGAATTTCACATAATCATTTCTACAAACTTTTATACCGTATATTATGTTAAAAAATTTTAAATCAGTATTTTATATGCCTCCATAAAATCGTTTAAAATTTAAGCAGAATTAATAAATATTAACTTGACAGATATACCTTTGACTCGGGAGTCATGAAAGAACCACCTTAAGCACATATTAATAAAAATTTAAACTATCACAGGACATCAGGTAAATGTAACACTTCTAACAATGTATTCTAAAAATAATTGTCTAGCCTTATGGCGAATAAAATGACTACACATAATTGGTAAATTGATTTTCTAAGACTACTTTTTTAAAATTGTTTTAAGAGCACACAATAATTTGAAGTGTTTATATCATGGATTTATAAAGAGTTTTTTTGAAGTCAAAGTTATTTTTATGTCGTTTGTGATCACTTAACACGTGTGCAGAGATTGTTTTTTAAGTAAAAAAGCTTATTAAAACTGTTATTTTTGACACATTTATCTTCTTAGATAGTTTGTGAATTTTTAAAAACTTTGAAGTTAGGCTTAAGCAGAAAAACAAAACATAATTTTCTACACATTTGCAATAATTATGTTACCATAATTCATTTCTAAGATTTTGCTCATTTATTTCTTTAAGATGCATGCAAAACCAACAAAATACAGGCAATGTTTTCATATCAACCAATACTTCTCTATTTGTGTGCCACAGTAGATTTTTCCTATAGAAATTCCATGAGACTCATTGTTTTTAATCTATTATCTTTCTTCGATTTTAAGATGTATCAGTTTTTTAGATATTTGGAGGTTATACTTGCACATAGTCATGGAAAACTATTTTTGTACTTTTGTAATTATTTATTTATTATGGTTTCACTGTTCGTAAAATTTTCTTCCTTTACTCTAAAATAATAGATCTAAAATACGTTTAGTTAAAATCATGTACATCCATTTATACTAACGCCCCTCTATTTGTGTGCAGAAGTGTTTTTGTCCTATAGATTACCCCCAAAAATAGCAATTTTTGTCTATCTGGCTTTGTTTTTCAGAGATGGCATATTTTTATTAGTTCGACATAAAGTCGTCATAACTATTCGTTACATAAATATTGGGTGTTTGCATTGATCTGCCGATCATCCAAAATACTTTGTTAGTTGTCTATTGTTACAAGATAAAAAAGTAGTATGTAAATATGTGTGGTTATATGCACTCGCATAGGTGCAACCATACGTACACGCAAATATAAATACGTACACACACACTGAGCACAGGGGTTAAAAAAAATTAAAGACAATGCAATGACCTTACATATGTGTTGGAATCTGAAAAATCCACTGATTGAGCCCCCCTAAACGATGCTTAGCTTGCACGTTGCAGTAAGTATACATTAGGTATTGTGCGTACCTACGTACGTAACGTGTATACCTAATACATATTTTCTGCCGTTTGGTCACCAACGCTATTTTCCATGCGATTGGTTCGAATGGCTTCACTAAGTGAGATAAATTGTTCTTTTTTAAGATCGCTAGAATACACGGAGCGTTATGAATAAAAAATCGTTATGTTAGTGAAAAAAAATTTTGAGAGCTAGTTGACCAAATAAGTAAGTATTTTAAGTATTAAATATGCTGTGGTACAGTAATAAGAGTTATTTAGAGTTGTAATTTATACTATTAGTTTGGAAAAAATTAAAACATCGAATGCTTCTGTATTAACAGGATAAACATAACAGCATAAAAACGCCTTACACTTGTGTAAAGCTTGAAAGACACAAGTTATCTTGTAGAAATGTAGTTATGGGAAAGTTAACTAAATCTGCCATACATTTTTTGTTTTAAACACAACATTGCAAAAACTCTAAGTTGTTCTTCCGTTTCACAAGCTTAATGCAAAAACAAGTATGTCAAGGCATTTATCTAAGTTATTTTGACAAAGTTTCAATTCATGTTTTTAGTTATACAAATCTTCTAGGATACATGAAAACAGCCATCGAACTTTATTACTGAGCACCAGCATTGTATACACCTAAATCACTGTTTTATTTGGTTAATTCACTCCCAATCATACTTTTTTTAATTAAGTAACCAATCTTGATCCATGTTATCTAGTGATCTCTATGAGGGACATTTCCTTTTACTCAGGGGTGCCACTTGAATTACGCGCAAAGCAAACATTGTAAGATAAACTGCCGTGATCTACTCCACGACTACCAAAACTTCTCTTTCTCCTCACTAATAACTATTTTCGACGTCATGAGCTTCTGCCGATATTTGCACATTGTTCGTAGATGAATTATCTTGTCATGTTTTTGTACAACTTATAGATTTACATGTGTTCTGATTTTATATTGGTCGTGTATTTTTATTTATTACAACCATATTATAATAGGTAAGGTTACTGTTATTCAACAAGTTTCGTTTTAATTACAACAATAACTTAGATTAACCGTAATTCTTGTGACTGTAATCGATGCTAGCCTGGCATGCACATTCATGAACGTGACAACGTTATAAAAATATGTGCATTAAAAATGATTATAAAAGTGCTGTAAAATCTAGAGTTTTCAACAGTTTCTAGAATTCTAGTGTGTAGGAAGAAGTTTTGTCAAGGAAAACTGCAGTTGCTTAAATGCTTGTATTAGATATGGACTTTACAAAGCTACAAATTTCTGGTACTGCCATCAGCCTGAGCCAACACACTATCCCACAATTTATTAAGAGTTTCTCTACAATAGTTAAATTTTCATTCACGTTAGTTATGGTTCCCAGTTAATTTATTTCTAGTAGCCAATTAGGATTTGACAGACAGCTCTTTTTTCTTATATCTTCTTTGTACATGTTTATAGTCAGAGGAATTCAAAAATATATTGAAAGTATATAACTAGTTCTACTTGTAAAGAAATGTGATAACATTTAGTTGTCCAACACTTTGCACTACATAACTTAAAAAGGTTGATACATTCTTTTCTTTTCAGACCAAAATAAAACATTACGTTTTAAATATATACTCAAGGACACTCTTATGACGCTCATGGTGGCAGTTGTTGATGAATCACAAAATATCAAATTTTCCGTATTTTCTGATAAACCCTTTACCCCTTTTACATACTCCTTTTTTGTTACTCTATCTGTTTTTTTCTATAATACTATTCTACTTAATCATATTTTCTAGTGCACACCTAAACTTAGTATCACACTCACTTTTAATAAATAAAAAAATTCTACTGCACACCCAAGTCGTTCAAGGTGTCTAAACACCTCTCTTCATTTTCAATGTCGCTCTACTATTAAGATAAAGCTGTTACCCCTAAAATAACCTTGGAAGTTCCTTTCCCATACTTTTCCAGGAGCTTATAGTCCTCGCCTCTTGACATGCTACCCTACCACAATACTAGTCATCTTTAAGGTAAAAATTTACTCTGTTTCCTTAATAGGTCGTTTGAGACCCTTGAGTCCCCTTAGGGTTACAATTATCCAGCAGTACTACCGATGATGTCTCTAAAAGGTCACTATTAACAAGTTAAAGAAGAAGGGTTGGACGATTTCTTGGTTTCACATGGGTAGTGAGTCGTCACAGCCTATTATCCAGCCAAAAAGTCATAAAGTCTTATGACACGAAGTAAAAGCAATTGACTCACAATTTTTTCTTTCTTACTTTAAAGTTTTCATCTGTTAGTGACATACTAAGGCGTGATGAGTGGTGTTTTTCATTGAATTTTCACTTTTGTTCACATTCCACGGGCGATATTTGTTTATATCTTTACTGTTATATTCACTTTTCTCGGTGGTTCTATTTCTAAGTCTTCCTCCTCTTTTTTCCATCATAAGATTGAACAAAAAAAATTACACCCACGATGATTTTCACGTGTAGGTCTTTACTATCAATATTTCTTTAGATCCAGTTATCGTCAACTTTGTATCATTATAATAAACCTACGTCCAATAGTATAAGCACTTTAGTTTACAGCCTAAATTACTTCGTAACTATAAGAAAACTGAACTGCTATAATTTGTGCTAAGAAATGAAAATTTACCACAAAATACTATTTTTTTGTAACTGTGTAGCTCAATTCACACGTAACCTCTTTAAAAAAAAAAAAGGATTAAGCAACAAATTACCAAGCATCAAAGAATATATTTTATAAGCTTAAGTAAATCTTCGATGGCAAGTTGTAATCTCTTTTAATGTAAATATAAGTAAGATCTTATAATCTCTACAAAATAAATGATAGCTTACATTTGTTATAAAAATAAAAATAAGTTTTAAAATATGCAGAAACCAAAGTTTTTTGGAATAGTTCTTAATTTTTTAAGACGTTCTCATAAACATTTATGTTTATATTATAATTTATTTTGAAGAAAAAAAAGCAGTATTTAATAAATTTGCTTATCATTAAGAGGTTTTACTCTTTCTGTACTAAAATCTCTTTTTGGTAAAAAATTTGCTAATTAACTTGCACTCCTGCCTAAAAGAAGTTGTCATGGATAATACATCATAGGAGAAAGTTCTTAAGACTTATCTGTAAGTCATGCAGTTGTTTACTGTTACGACCTTTGTATGATATAATTTATTATATGTTATGGTATAGTAAGTAGCTGTTATAGGTAAAATATAATAAAGCGAAAAATGTTAATTTCATTTGTATTTATTTGAAACAAAAATCTTTTACAGAAAAGTAAAATATTACAATTTCATACCTGTATCTGTCAAAACACAAAAGTTGTTAGCCAATGCTTCATCTATAAATGACTTAGCTAAATTTTTCAATTCAAAGTTCTCCGTATTAACAATGACAGAAAATGATTTCCATTCCAGAACACTTATCAATGTCAGTAGACCCTAAGACACACCACAATTTCAAATAAATATTGTTAAATTATCAGAGATATTTTATATTTATTACATGCTTATTATACTAGCACAATGACGAAACTATACACCTTAATTCAATCAAAACACGAAGATACTTCAACTAAACGTAACAGTGAATCTGATACAAAGACAGCATTGCTAAAATTTCTAACATCTTAAAAAATTTTTTACCTGACAATTTTTCCTTAGAAATTCTTGCACGATAGTTTAATAAAAAGTTTGTGGCACTTCAAAACTTCTAGCGATAGTATTGTATAATTTTCTAGAATAACTTTTTTTTATTTTTTAGAAAACTCTCTTAGTTCTTTAATCAAGTTACTAGATGCAGTATTTAATGACACATTATCTGTGACTTATTTAAGTTTTTAAACTTTTTTCAAAGGCAAAAGTATTCAAAGTGTTTAAATAAATCTGTTTTAGATTTAACTGACGTATTCAGTTGTAAGTGCTCTATTTTTTGAAGATTACCTTAAGCTTATTCATTTTTGAAGAGGATAAAAATTTATTTAGAAATAGTTGACATTATGTTGAAGTAGGAAAAAATTGTTAAAAACGGTTGTTTATCTAGAATGACCCCTTTAATACCTCACAATAATTTTTAATATATAATTGGAAAAATGTTAGTAATTTTGTTTCAGGGTATTAATAAATAGGTACTTTTTGGCTTAAAATTTTACTTAACACACAAAAACAGTACATCAGTTGTTAAATATACATTACTGTTAAAATAAATGCTTGTAACAGATTATTCATCTCCATACGATTCTGTGTATTTTTCTAAGTTAGCATCGACAACTTTTCCCCTGCACGTGGCGTTGTTTTAAATAGCTGCATGAAGCAAATAAGTATACCTTTAAATACATAAGCTTCTGAGCTTTGTTCATATATTTACAGAATCGCTTTCTGTACTTAGACGAATAGACTGAGTACTTAATTATCATCAATTGTTGAGCGTAGCACTACTCACTGGCTAAAACCATTAAATTTACACTCTGCAATCTACATACTCACACGGCATAAATATTGAGGTTAGCTGAGTATAGTACATTGTCAACTATAGCTATATACATACACTGAGAGATTAGTGGAACGCCCTCTGTCCTCACACGGTTGGATAGAGTTCTAATGTAACGCACGCCTTCCGACTCAGGCAGTGGGACAGCTGGCGAACCACTTTGAACGCTAGATCGACCACCGTAGTACAGCAGCAGTACTATCTGTACAGTTCAGCAGTTGTCCTGGAATCTAGTGCATGGTCTGTTCCAGTATCTTATAGATGTATCTTATAGATAATAATGTATGTATATGATACAAGCACATCATTACTGGACATATCTATACATACTATTCACTGTACAGGTGCTACCTGTGCGTTACTCTATCACAAAAATTACAACTACAGCCGCGTGTATATTATAAGTATACATGTATATATATGTACTTATGAAGATCCTGAATAGTTCATCTTTTTTGTAATAAATTTTTTAGTCTCAGAAATCGAAAACAAAAGCAAAGAAAAGTTTTATATTATTTTTAAAAACTTTTATACATATAAACNGTATGTACATGATTCATAACACATCAGTACTGGACATACCTATATAAATCATTCACTGTATAGGTGCTACCTGTGTGTTGCTCTGTCACAAAAATGATTTTTAAAGTAACGAAAATTTAAAATGTTTTGTTTATTTTTAAAAGCTTGTCATGATATTTAGTTTATATAAAACTAGATTGTAAATTATTATAATGTATAAGCTACCAGTGTCATTTACAATAACGTAATAAGTGGCAAATAGTGATACAAAATATGTTACTCCTCGAATAAATTGATCAACCTTAAAACAGACCATATTATTTTCAATATATTTCAAAGCGACACGATTCATAAACGTGCGTACATACAAACACATTCAATACTATACATATATACATATATATATATACGTATGCACGCGCGTTACATACACATATGTGGGTCAAGTATACATTATAATATATTATACTCGACACTTGGCACGCGAGCTACTGTGGGTACATCTAATGTACTCGTCAATAGCACGTTAATAGCATCAAACTTGTGGCACATTGCTTGTGTTGCAAGAGTGGAGTGCGTGGCATCCCACTCTGAGTCATCTGTTGTCCCAACGTAAGTGATAGCTCAGCTGCATCACCTGAAGGACAGAGGGCGTTCCACTAATTTCTTAGTGTACGAGTAGCAGACGACTGACATGTGAAAGTAACAAGGAGAGAGCTGCGCAGAACGTTAGTGCGCAACAAAAAGGTTCCCATCCTGGTAAGGAATGCATAACTTTCCAGTCTGAAATCAGGACAGGAATGCGAACTTACTGCCAGGGTATAATTAAAACATAATAATGACATTGTAATTAGGGTCAAGATAAACCAGCTTGAGAACAGGTATTTCCATTTGCATTTCCAGGTATATACTTTTGCAAAGTTGCAAGAAAACTCATATGTTTTTATTGATCTGTAGATTTTGTATACTCTAATTACGAATGAACGAAATATGACTGTTACTCTATACCGTAACCATCTTCAACCGAAATAATTTAAGTAACAAAGAAACGGCTACTTTTACACTATACAGTTTATACAAATCAAACTTATCTGGTGCCGTACAAAAGAGAACCGTTCTTCTAGTAAAAATATAGCTGACAAACTTATACTTTGTTCTTCTATGAAATATTTACTTCATTTAATTCTTAATGTTTTATACACTTTGCTTATCAAAGTTTTTCTTTCGATCTTTTTATTTAGGCTTATTTAATATAATAACATTAATAAATATCCTATGCTTGACACTTTAAACAGAATCATTTATTTGCATGTGATTTCGTGAAAATTATATGGCACCTTTAAATGCATACGCATTTTTCTCTATGCGCAGCAAGTTTAACCAACTATTAAAATTCATACTTGTTCCCTCTATTATAGAGTGCAGAGTGCATTACGAGCACAAACAAGGAGTAGTAGAAAAAGGAAAAGAACTCATTCATACTTGATAGCTAGCTGAAGCTCACCAATGTGGCGTGCTAGTGGTCTAGCCACCGACAAATATAACTAACACTGGAGTTTATCCGTATTGTTTTAAGAAAGATAAGATTGGCACAGTAAATTTAGAAACTGGCAAGCATTTTTTATTATATACATACAATAAGTTAATGAATTTATTTTCGAACCAACTTGCTCATCCATTCAAAGAAATAACATCATTAAGACATTATAATCAACACGTGAAGCAGAATTTATTTGCGCATGTATGAGAATTATATTGGACCCCACATGCATACGCACTTTTCTCCATGCCAAGCAAATATGACCTGCTGATAAAATGCATACTTGGTGCTCCTGTTATAAGGCATGGAGTACATTAAAGTACAAAAAAATAAAAAATAAGAAGAAGTACGAAAAAGGTAGGGAATCGATTCGTCCTCGATCACTAGGAAAAACTTATCAGTGTGGCAAATGCACTGAACGCCTTGCTTGGGTTAGATAAAAGTGCACATACATGTATAGGTGCAATATAATGTGTACATGGACAAGTAAAAATAAGTAATTCTACTAAAAGTGTTAATAAAGTGTCTTTATTAATATTGTTTCGATGAATAAATGAGCAAGTCATTTTGAGGGATAAGATCGATTGATTAACTAAATTAAAACCTAAATGTCAACTACTTTTAAATTACCTTAAACAATGAGGTAACTATATTAATAAGATACTTTATGAAACAAAATTAAGTAAACAGGCACATAAATAAAAAGAGGGTAGGAGAAAGACGCCATCTCACTGCTTTTTTTCTTCACATGCTCAACGTTGTTGGTTACGACAAATGCTGCCACAGCTCTAAGGGCTAGTGGAGCAGGTGAATCAAGCCATACTTAATCCTCTGTGACGTCGATGCAACGTACTATTCGAGCCTAAGCTTTGCTTAATAGCTCAAAACTCACACTGGGTACGTAGGTGAGACGCGGGATTAAAGGGGTAGTTCAACTTAACGACGCGGTACTCGGAAAAGGGCTACGACTGCTTTCACGCGACAAAGACCGACTGCTATGCAATATTCCGATGCACTTGCTCGTGGCTCGCTTTTACCAGAAGCGGCGTATATCTCGTTCGCGATCTAAAAACTGTCAGCACCGTCACGAGTAAGGGTATCGTACGTGGAAGAGACGTGTTAACTCGCGATCTAACTTTAACACACTAATATCGTGGTGAGTATTTGCTTTAATCCGATCGGTCCTTGTTATTCTGATAGTATTACTACCACAGAGAGCAATAGTATATACGTGGCTAATTTAATATTCCCGGTGACCGACAGGTGCCAATACCATGGCAAATGATGGCATTTGCACAAAAACACTTTCTATTTCCCCGTGATCTACGGGTACCAATACTAGACAAGTAATGACGTTCGCGCTAAAACACTTGATTTTTCCCGGTGATCCATGGGTACTAATATTATAGCAAGTAATGGCATTCGCGCAAAAAAACACTTTGTATTTCCCGGTGATCCACGGGTACCAATACTATGGCGAGTAATGACATTCACGCAAAAAAAAAAAGTTGATAGAAAGAAAGAATCTTTAGAAATCTGATACCTTGCCACTAACTTTTATTTAAGAGTCAAACTTGGTACATGCGTTGAACCAGCGTAGACAGAAACCGCGCTCAAAGAAGATCAAGTGGCAGTAGAGGCAGACTCTGGTTACCAGTTGATCGTTCGAGGGTGACAACGAAATTCGACTGTGTCCCCGCTTCGTAGTAGACTAGGTTGAAGCAGAGGCAGACTCTCACTTCTCAGTTTACTTCAAAGGGTATCGTCGAATGCCGCATGCCAAACTGAACTGATTTCCCTCTGGGCTTACGGGCCTTTTTATTGTGAAAAGTGGACCTCGGTCACGCGCTGGCTCGAAAAATGAAGAAAAACTTGCCGGGGAAAAATTTT